AATCATTTACTCCCTCCCTTTTATAATAAATGTCGTTTCGATACTTTAAAAAAAATATTAACTACTCTATTATATCCCTAGAAAATAGTTTTATTACAGTGATGCAAAAGGCTTAAAGCATATAAGAAAACCCTAGCCGTCACAGCGTAATGGAGAGGAAAAAGGTGATTTGCGTTGACTCCCTCTCCGATGTCCGGTGTTTTTTTTAGGCATCGTGAGAGGGTTGTAAACTAGTAGTTGCTACGCTGAATATGGAGTCTAAAGGGTGTCATGGAGTTTATAGTCAGAAGACGATGCAATACTTTTTGCCTTTTTGGTTTTTATGAGTTATTTATTTCCTTGATTGTGTTTAATTTTTCTTTAAGGGTGAATTTTTAGTTGAGATTTTTTTCTTCGTAGAAGATATATTGTTTGCTTTACATATTTAGTTTCTAGTCAATTTTGGCTATCTATATGATTTAAATTTTGCAGTTCAAAATTGTTAAACGGCAGCTTCACTGAATCCAACTCGAAACAAAATTGACAAATGCAATCAAAGAATGAGATTTATCTAAACTAAGAGAATTGTTGTCATGTTATCGTAAAATATATTAGAAGTTAGGCTGCTATTGTGGATACGTAAACACTTAATTGTCTACTTACGATTCGAAACAAGACTATTTTGGTATTGCTAATGTGTCGTCAACGATTATTGTCCTCACTTAATTTCTTTACGGTGCAGAAATAACCATTAGTTTCTCTTTGTATTTCATATGTTGAACTTTTCTGTGATTTAATCTATTTCAAATATGTTTCAATAAAATAAAGTGTAAAAAAACAGTTTCATTATAAGTATTTTATTCTACTATTTGTTAGACTTAGGGGGTAACTTAGGTATTTTACACCGAAATTTTCATTCGAACTCTAAAACGATACTTATTTTAAAACATAAACTTTATTATTAGAATCAATTAGCTCAAAAAATGTTAGTGTTCAGGTCTATTTTAGAATTTACGTACATGAGTCATTGATCTCAAGCCTTAAACCTTTAGTGTTATCAAGAAATAACTTTGAGAGGACTAGGTATAAATGCTTTCCTTATGAGAGATGGGAGATGCCTCTTCTATTAATCTTGAGACGGTTTGATTGATTGTTCAGATCGCATTTGTGCCTACACAAATAACATGGTCAGAGAGTCTTCAAGAGGATGAAAAGGAGTTCCCCTACCGAAGATTCTCTAACTCATGTTAGGCATCCACATAAAAGTCGTTTTAATCAAAAAATAAGTGTGGAGTTGGTTTGATATCACTCTCGAGTATCGTGGACGGGGTCGTCCTACCCTACTAAAAAAGGCAACCTCTTAGGGCTTTTTCTTCACATCCATATTTTTTGGACTCCAAATTTTATATAATTAGTTTAAGTGATAAAAAAATTGTATATATGCTTTTAGCTTATTTTTGTTCTTTAGAGATAATGTCCTACAAATTGATTTTGGTTAATAGATTTCATCAGAAAATTATATTTTAATCATTTTCGTTTATATTTTTTTTTAACTCATTTGATATCATTTTTTTATTGTTATATTAATATCTAATTTTTATAGTTGCAATTAATATATTTTAGTTAAAAAAAATAGGAATATATGTACACAATATCAATAGATATCCTTTTATTATCGAATATTTCTTATTTCATTTTTGATTTGACAAACTATATTGTTTTCATTAAAAAAAAATATGAACCATATATGTTAGTCACATCAAAAACTATCAAATATAAATTTCAGCTATATTGAATATACTTTTAAAAGAGAATTTTCATATTTTATATGATAAACATTATGTTTAACTAAAAATATATTTTTAAATATCGTCTTTGATCTCCGGAATGTTAGGCATGGCACTAATCGTGGATACTTTCATTTTAGAAGTTTCGCAAGAGAAAAAAGGCTCTTAGGAAACGTGGGTTGGCAACTCTCTCCATCAGATCTTTTCCTCCATAGATTTCATCGAGAGATCCCTCAGTATAAAGCCTCTTTCTTTCTCATTTGGTGTGAAACTGCTGCTTTGGGCATCAAAGTTATAATATTAATTTGAGGGCATTAAAATTCGGTAAAAGCTTTTGTAGTGTAGTGGTTATCAACATATTGGATGGGTAAAAGCTCCTGGGTTCGAACTTCACCCATTAGCTAGGACCGGCCCTCGACATAGGACTTGAAGGGTGAAGAAGCAAAGTAAGAGATTTTCTTCTATATGGCGGGATAGATTGTTTGCTACCTTATCTTTGGGTCTTGTTGGGTCTAAGGACTTGCCTGTCCAATAAAAGTGTAGATAATTAGATTTAAAAATAAGCTTCCTTGTACAATTTTTTTTTTACATCACAGGTTCCTTAGAGCATCCCTAATGATAATACTAGTATTTAGAAGAGTTTCTAGCCATTTAAAAAATATAAAATAATTAAAAAGTATGAGAGAGAATGAGATGAAGTTCGTAAGGAAAAACCTATTCTAAAACTTGAAAAAACTCATTTAGTAGTTTTATTATATAAGCAATATAA